CCCACTGCCTAACCTATCACCCACTGCCTCACCTTGCACCCACTGCCTCACATTGCACCCACTGCCTCACCTTGCACCCATTGCCTCATCTATCATCAAGTGCCTCACCTTGCACACACTGCCTCACCTTGCACACACTGCCTCATCTATCACACACTGCCTCACCTTGCACACACTGCCTCACCTTGCACACACTGCCTCACCTATCACACACTGCCTCACCTTGCGCACACTGCCTCACCTTTCACACACTGCCTCACCTTGCACCCACTGCCTCACCGTGCACCCACTGCTCCACCTTGCACCCGCTGACTCACCTTGCACCCACTGCTCCACCTTGCACCCACTGCCTCACCTTGCAGCCACTGCTCCACCTTGCACCCACTGCCCCACCTTGCACCCACTGCCCCACCTTGCACCCACTGCCTCACCTTGCACCCACTGCTCCACCTTGCACCCACTGCTCCACCTTGCACCCACTGCTCCACCTTGCACCCGCTGACTCACCTTGCACCCACTGCTCCACCTTGCACCCACTGCCTCACCTTGCAGCCACTGCTCCACCTTGCACCCACTGCCCCACCTTGCACCCACTGCCCCACCTTGCACCCACTGCCTCACCTTGCACCCACTGCTCCACCTTGCACCCACTGCTCCACCTTGCACCCACTGCCCTACATTCCACCCACTGCCTCACCTTGCACCTACTGCCCCACCTTGCACCCGCTGCCTCACCTTGCACCCGCTGCCTCACCATGCACCCACTGCCTCACCTTGCACCCACTGCCTCACATTCCACCCACTGCCTCACCTTGCCCCCACTGCCTCACCTTGCACCCTCTGCCTCACCTTGCAACCACTGCCTCACCTTGCACCAACTGCCTCTCCTTGCACCCACTGCCCCACCTTGCACCCACTGCCTCACCTTGCACACACTGCCTCACCTATCACACACTGCCTCACCTTGCACTCACTGCTCCACCTTGCACCCACTGCCTCACTGTGCACACACTGCCTCACCTTGCATCCACTGCCTCACCTTGCACCCACTGCCTCACCTTGCATCCGCTGCCTCACCTTGCACCCGCTGCCTCACCTTGCACCCGCTGCCTCACCTTGCACCCACTGCCTCACCTTGCAACCACTGCCTAACCTTGCACCCACTGCCTAACCTTGCACCAACTGCCTCACATTCCACCCACTGCCTCACCTTACCCCCACTGCCTCACCTTGCACCCTCTGCCTCACCTTGCACCCACTGCCTCACCTTGCACCCACTGCCTCACCTTGCACCCACTGCCTCACCTTGCACCCACTGCCTCACCTTGCACCCGCTGCCCCACCTTGCACCCACTGCCTAACCTTGCACCAACTGCCTCACCTTGCACCCGCTGCCCCACCTTGCACCCACTGCCTAACCTTGCACCAACTGCCCCACCTTGCACCAACTGCCTCACCTTGCACCCACTGCCTCACCTTGCACCCACTGCCTAACCTTGCACCCACTGCCCCACCTTGCACCAACTGCCTCACCTTGCACCCACTGCCTCACCTTGCACCCACTGCCTCACATTGCACCCACTGCCTCACATTGCACCCACTGCCTCACCTTGCACCCATTGCCTCATCTATCATCAACTGCCTCACCTTGCACACACTGCCTCACCTATAACACACTGCCTCACCTTGCACACACTGCCTCACCTATCACACACTGCCTCACCTTGCATCCACTGCTCTACCTTGCACCCGCTGACTAACCTTGCACCTACTGCCTCACCTTGCACACACTGCCTCACCTATCACACACTGCCTCACCTTGCATTCACTGCTCTACTTTGCACCCGCTGACTCACCTTGCACCCACTGCCTCACCTTGCATCCACTGCCTCACCTTGCACTTACTGCCCCACCTTGCACCCACTGCCTCACCTTGCACCCACTGTCCCAACATGCACCCGCTGCCTCATCTTGCACCCACTGCTTCACCTTGCACCCATTGCCTCACCTTGCACGCTCTGCCTCACCTTGCACCCACTGACCCACCTTGCACCCATTGCCTCACCTTGCATCCTCTGACCCACCTTACACCCACTGCCTCACCTTTCACCCTCTGCCTCACCTTCCACCCTCTGCCTCACCTTGCACCCACTGCCTCACCTTGCACCCACTGACTCACCTTGCACCCTCTGCCCTACCTTGCACCCTCTGCCTCACTTTGCACTCTCTACCTCACCTTGCACCCACTGACTCACCTTGCACCCTCTGCTCCACCTTGCACCCGCTACCTCACCTTGCACCCACTGACTAACCTTGCACCCTCTGCCCCACCTTGCACCCACTACCTAACGTTGCACCTACTGACTCACCTTGCACCCTCTGCCTCACCTTGCACCCACTGCCTCACCTTGCACCCACTGACTCACCTTGCACCCTCTGCCCTACCTTGCACCCTCTGCCTCACTTTCCACCCACTGCCTCACCTTGCACCCTCTGCCCTACCTTGCACCCTCTGCCTCACTTTCCACCCACTGCCCCATCTTGGACCCTCTACCTCACGTTGCACCCACTGACTCACGTTGCACCCACTGACTCACCTTGCACCCTCTGCCTCACTTTCCACCCACTGACTCACCTTGCACCCTCTGCCTCACCTTGCACCCACTGCCTCACATTGCACCGACTGCCTCACATTGCACCCACTGCCTCACCTTGCACCCACTGACTCACCTTCCACCCACTGACTCACCTTGCACCCTCTGCCCCACCTTGCACCCACTACCTCACGTTGCACCCACTACCTCACGTTGCACCCACTGACTCACCTTGCACCCTCTGCCTCACCTAGCAGCCACTGACTCACCTTGCACCCAGTGCCTCACATTGCACCCACTGACTCACCTTGCACCCACTGCCTCACCTTGCACCCACTGCCTCACCTTGCACCCACTGCCTCAACTTGCACACACTGACTCACCTTGCACCCTCTGCCCCACCTTGCACCCACTACCTCACGTTGCAACCTCTTCCTCACCTTGCACCCTCTACCTCACCTTGCACCCACTGCCCCACCTTGCACCCACTGCCCCACCTTGCACCCACTGTCCCACCTTGCACCCACTGCCTCACCTTGCACCCACTGTCCCACCTTGCACCCACTGCCTCGCCCTGCACCCACTGCTTCACCTTGCACCCACTGCTTCACCTTGCACCCACTGCCCCACCTTGCACCCACTGACTCACCTTGCACCCACTGCCCCACCTTGCACCCACTGCCTCGCCCTGCACCCACTGCCTCGCCCTGCACCCACTGCCCCACCTTGCACCCTCTGATTCACCTTCCACCCACTGCCTCACCTTGCACCCACTGCCTCACCTTGCACCCACTGCCTCGCCTTGCACCCACTGCCTCACCTTGCACCCACTGTCCCACCTTGCATCCACTGCCCCACCTTGCACCCACTGCCCCACCTTGCACCCACTGCTTCACCTTGCACCCACTGCCACACCTTGCACCCACTGCCTCACCTTGCACCCATTGCCCCACCTTACAACCACTGCCCCACCTTCCACCCACTGCCTCACCTTGCACCCACTGCCTCACCTTGCACCCGCTGCCCCACCTTGCACCCACTGCCCCACCTTGCACCCTCTGCCCCACCTTGCACCCGCTGCCTCACCTTGCACCCGCTGCCTCACCTTGCACCCTTTGCCTCACCTTCCACACTCTGCCACACCTTGCACCCACTGCCTCACCTTGCACCCATTGCCCCACCTTACAACCACTGCCCCACCTTCCACCCACTGCCTCACCTTGCACTTACTGCCCCAGCTTGCACCCACTGTCCCACCTTGCACCCGCTGCCTCACCTTGCACCCACTGCCTCACCTTGCACCAACTGCCTCACCTTGCACCCACTGCCCCACCTTGCACCCACTGCCCCACCTTGCACAGTGGATATATATGTTCTATTTCCTGCTAACCTCACACCAAGGTGCATTTCTGATCTTTGTGTTCTACTTCCTGCTAACCTCACACCCAGGTACAACCCTGATCTATATGTTCTACTTCCTGCCAACCCCTCACCCAGGTGCAACCTTGATCTATGTGTTCTACTTCCTGCTAACCCCTCACCCAGGTGCAGCCCTGATCTGTGTGTTCTACTTCCTGCTGACCTCACACCTAGGTGCAACCCTGATCTGTGTGTTCTACTTCCTGCTAGCCTCTCACCCAGATGCAACCCTGATCTGTGTGTTCTACTTCCTGCTAACCTATCACCAAGGTGCAACCCAGATCTATATGTTCTACTTCCTGCTAACCTATCACCAAGGTGCAACCCAGATCTATATGTTCTACTTCCTGCTAACCTCTCACCCAGGTGCAACCCAGATCTATATGTTCTACTTCCTGCTAACCTCTCACCCAGGTGCAACCCTGATCTGTGTGTTCTACTTCCTGCTTAACGGACATCCGATTGCAACCCTGATCCATAAGCTGTTCCCCCTGCTTTGCTAACACCCAGGGGAAATCTGATCTATGTGTTTTGCTATGTTGATGTTGCATGTTAAAAAAGACACACCAAAACTCTGAGGCAGAAGCTACATCAAGCTGTATCGACTACACCATCAGCAAACACACTCCAAATCAACATTCATTCAAATCGATCAGGAGTTCCTGCCCTTCCTTTAGTTCGACAACCTCGCGTGAAGCGGTTACATTTGCCGTTGATTTACACTTTCTCCACCATACACAGCCCAGGCGTGAAATGTATCGGAAACGTTATGTGCAAAGACGCTACTCTTTTGAGAAAATAGTAGTTTACACCGTTAGACTTAAGCCCGAATTAAACTAGTATCACTAGATGTATGGTTGAGCATGTCTTCCGCTGACGTTTAAGGTACATCTACATGACTGTTCTGGTATAAGGACTATATTTGCAGCCATGGCTGGGTGCCTTCATGGTTCTTCCTGTCACAATACTTGTTATGTACCGCATGTCAACATACCTGTCGTAGTCCCAGGTGTCGAAGAGGCTGTCACTAGTAACAGAAATGTTGATGATTAGACATACCACATAGTCTATTAATTCACCATGCGAGATATCCACACGTCATCTTTGTTTTCTATTAAACTGTCGTGCAAACGAAAGTAAACTTGAAAATTGAATAAGACCCCAAAATAATAAAGGTTTTCAAAATGTTAATAGGCTTAAACCTGCCGAAAGACGGCAAACTTAAGGTCCAAAACAAAACTATGATAGACATACATAATTCGACGTCGCCATCAAATAAACGTTTCTTGTTTGTTTCATTTTCGACACCATCAAACATAGGTGTACACTATATTTTAGCCGTCAGATAAGTTATCAAAAAATATTACGTGTGGATATTATGAATGTGTTAATATCAATTGTTTAGCAAACAGTTCACAAAAGATTCCCTTTTTCTTAAATGACAAGGCCCATCGTTCCTAAAATATAAATCGTCAACGCCAGAGAATAAGCATATCGATTATCTGCCCAAACCCAATTCCATTGGGGGTAAAAGACAAACTAATGATGGGGAAATTATACGAATTGACCACTGACCTCATGGATGACGCAGTGTTCGCGAAATGCCGCAATATCTCAGAATACGAAGTGAACGTATGTTCTGCTCTACCACAAAAAAGCTCTTACATTAAGAATCGGAACAATTGTGTTCATTATACAAACAGTTATACACATGCAATATAGATGAAAAAATCATTATAAATTTATTAAAAATATTTTATCGGACTTCATTATCTACGTCAGCAGCGTTACTACTTTGCTTATTCTCATATTATAAATCTGACAGAGTAACTGAGCTAAGCATAGTATGGCTTTGGAGGTTCTTGCAAACAACATGCAACATTAACATAATGCACTCTGCTCACCACAGAAGGACGTCACAGCCAGGATCAGAAGCACCAGAAACTGACTACCACTCTGCGTCATCTTCTGTCGAAGTAGCTACTGTGAAAATATTGCTGATACTTGAAAAAAAGCTCCTCTCAAAAGCTAGTACACATGAATGATAGCATTGAAGTGTATTTTAAGAAAGCAGTTCAGGAAGATTGTTTACATTCAGGCATTTAATGCATGGTAATTCGTTGAATAATGCATGTTGGACGGATATGTTGATTCAGTTTCACAGTACACTATGGTGTATATGTCACTATGACAGGGTCTTATGGTAGAGCGTCGCGAAAGCTCCGGGGTTCGAATCCGACCACGTCATACCAAACGACGTTAAAAGATGGAACTTGTTGTTACTCTGCCTTGCGTTGGGCATTAAAGGTCTAAATCAAAGGCAGGTCGGCCGGGAGTCAGTATACTGTGTTTGAGTGGGGTATTCATGTTAAACTGTGGTATGGTATCTCAATGGACTAGCACTATAAAATCATTAGCCCCGCTAGTAGAAGCAGCCACACACACACACGTGCATGCACATCGCTACATAAGAGAGATTATCTTGGACGCCTCACCTCACCTCACCTCACCTCACCTCACCTCCACCTCACCTCACCTCACCTCACCTCACCTCACCTCCACCTCACCTCACCTCACCTCCACCTCACCTCACCTCACCTCACCTCACCTCACCTCACCTCACCATGACAAGGAGGCAGGGGCACCTGGTAAAGCCATGTAAAGAAGCACTATGGTGCTTGCCAGCTCCCGACACTGTGTATCGCTTGTAATCCATAAACATTAAGCCATGACACAAAACATTTGAACTGATACTGAGCGGATTACAAACGATTATAGAGGGGACAGCGTAGGTGCGCCTCCATACTCATAAACATTGCGACACCTGTTACAAAATCTACAGATGACGCAAATAGTTCAATGAAACGTCTATAAGAATATATGTACACATAAACCCGCCCGCCGCCACACACGCCCCCCTAGCAATCACCTTGACTCCCCCCTCCCCCCTCCCCTCCGGCTCACTATCCCGTCTCCTATCTGACCCTCACTTTCCACAAACCATTTCACTCTTTCTATCCCCAATCCCATCCTTCATCCATCCATCACATAACATTAACATCCATGACACCTTTTTTACAAGCCCTCACACTCGTAAAACCATCCATTTCACCCCTCTGTACCTTCCATCTCACCCTCTCTACCATCAATCTCACCCTCTCTACCATGAAACTCACCCCTCTCTACCATCAATCTCATCCCTCTCTACCATCAGTCTCATCCCTCTCTACCATCAATCTCTTCCTCCCTACCATCAATCTCATCCCTCTCTACCATCAATCTCACACTCCCTACCATCAATCTCATCCCTCTCTACCATCAATCACACACTCCCTACCATCAATCTCACCCTTCTCTACCATCAATCTCATCCCTCTCTACCATCAATCTCACCCCTCTCTACCATCAATCTCACCCCTCTCTACCATCAATCTCACCCCTCTCTACCATCAATCTCACCCCTCTCTACCATCAATCTCATCCCTCTCTACCATCAATCTCACCCCTCTCTACCATCAATCTCACCCCTCTCTACCATCAATCTCATCCCTCTCTACCATCAATCTCATCCCTCTCTAGCATCAATCTCACCCTTCCTACCATCAATCTCATCCCTCTCTACCATCAATCTCACCCTTCCTACCATCAATCTCATCCCTCTCTAGCATCAATCTCACCCTCCCTACCATCAATCTCACCCTTCTCTAGCATCAATCTCACCCTCCCTTCCATCAATCTCACCTCTCTCTACCATCCATCTCATCCCTCTCTTCCATCCATCACACCCGTCATACCATCCATCTCACCTATCTGCCATCCATCTCATCCCTTCTATCAACCATCTCACCATTTCTACGATCCATCTCGTCCTTCCTTATACCGCAATCCACACACTTCAATCACGTCTCATACCCACCTCTCATTTCCTCCTTATAAAATGCATAACAAATCTCTTTTTAATCTTACATCAACCCCTGAAACTAAACGTTGGTCTCATGAACGACACGAGTGTGTTAGTTATACTGCAGTTGCACGGTCGTTATAAAAGAGTTAATTCATTTCATTAAAATAAAAAAGGACAATCGTCATGTATGAAAACATATAATGTAACCACATAAATGTAAAGTTACCTCATATGCTACTATATTGATGTGTATGCATGGCAACGACTAATACAACCTCTACTACCGAGGTCACATCCGGGTTAGAATAGGTCTTTAGCAACCAATGGGAGGTTACCTATGGAATGGGGTGGTTGTTGCATGTCGTCGTATCCCGTCTGTGTAGATCATGAGGATTGTCTCATCCTGACTCAATTGTCTGCAGATCGCTGTCATACAGCTGGACTTTAGCTGAGTACGGCGTTCAATAACAAGCAAGCAAACAAACAAACAACAAAATAATGCGTGCTCGTCTGCCATATCTGTTGCTATTATTTCCACAATGTTGCTTGTATGCTCACTGTAAACAGATGAGCCTTGAACGACAAACCAGTGGTTGATATAATGAACGTCCCATGCCGTCGGGGTCGCATACCGAAAGACGTTAACTTATTGTACTTGGCGTTCGGCATTATGGGAATAAAACAAAGGCTGTTCGGCTCGGGGTCAGTACTGTGTCTGAGTAACTATCCATGTTAAACTGTCGTCGGGGTCGCATATCGAAAGACGTTAACATAGGGTACATGGCGTTCAGCATTATGGGAATAAAACAAAGGCTGAGCCTGAGTACCTATCCATGTTAAACTGCAGCATGGTATTTCAGTCCGGACTGGTCCATGCAACCACACGTTCAAGCAGGTCGCTATAGAGTGAGTGAATATGGTTTTACGTCGCTTTTAGCAATATTCCAGCAATATTACCGCGGGGAACAACAGACATTGGCCTCACATATTGTACCCAAGTGAGAATCGAACCCGGGGGTTCAGCGCAGCAAGAGAACACGTAAACCACTGAGCTACCCCACCGCCCCATGTCTCTATTGAAACGCAGGTGCGACGTTAAACCTCATTTCACTTCACCTCACACTTCAAATACCATCATGGAAGGGTACGGGAACTCACCAGCTATGTCGACGTAACGGTACAATACTCTACTTGGAGCTGTTGAGGTAACGTCCACGCGAGGGTACTGTCCACCATGCACGAGACTTGCTACCTTCCAGAAGGCTGAGTCACGTGGAATAACCCTGTGAATGTATCATATAACTATCAGCGGAACACTTGCTCGATTGCGTCATATTAACTGAATACACATCAAGGTATATTTGCTGTATGGCAGAACGGACATCGCCCCTCGTCGTGTTACCAGCACGTGGTGACGGGGCATATTCTGCACTGGGCTCCCTTCAGGGAACAAACAGAGGGCACGTGGTGACGGGGCATATTCTGCACTGGGCTCCCTTCAGGGAACAAACAGAGGGCACGTGGTGACGGGGCATATTCTGCACTGGGCTCCCTTCAGGGAACAAACAGAGGGCACGTGGTGACGGGGCATATTCTGCACTGGGCTCCCTTCAGGGAACAAACAGAGGGCACGTGGTGACGGGGCATATTCTGCACTGGGCTCCCTTCAGGGAACAAACAGAGGGCACGTGGTGACGGGGCATATTCTGCACTGGGCTCCCTTCAGGGAACAAACAGAGGGCACGTGGTGACGGGGCATATTCTGCTCTGGGCTCCCTTCAGGGAACAAACAGAGGGCACGTGGTGACGGGGCATATTCTGCTCTGGGCTCCTTTCAGGGAACAAACAGAGGGCACGTGGTGACGGGGCATATTCTGCACTGGGCTCCCTTCAGGGAACAAACAGAGGGCACGTGGTGACGGGGCATATTCTGCTCTGGGCTCCCTTCAGGGAACAAACAGAGGGCACGTGGTGACGGGGCATATTCTGCTCTGGGCTCCCTTCAGGGAACAAACAGAGGGCACCAGAGTCGACTTTATTCAGGTCGTCATAAACATTTCCGTGTTTATGAACACAAATGTAATAACAAACCATGTTTCGTTTAATTATAGTCTAATCGTATGTCCATGTTGTTTTATGCCACATTCTTAAATAGTCACTGAGTGGGACTACTGGTATCCGATTTGTCATCTCTTACAACAAGCATGAGATATTCTATCGAAAACAATACATTGTCCCGGGCCATGCTTGAAAATAAATGTGCTTCAGACTGTTCAAATATGATAGAGCTGTCAGCCAACACACATTGACTTGTTGGAAGATGTCTAATATTAACACGCATAGATTTAATAAGAATAATATCTGGTTATGGAGATATAGCTGCAGATGTACACAGCCGAAATCATGGACGGGATTAGGCCAAGGCCATCTTCATACTGATATCGACATCCCCTGTTGTTCTGAGCCCCAACAGAAGTGACCACTTATATATCTAGCTGCCCGCTACGTAATAACATTGTGTGGGGGATATCTAGCTGCCCGCTACGTAATAACATTGTGTGGGGGACATGTTTCCTTCTGCAATAGAGATTGACGAGATCAGTGCCGAGTGTTTCCTAATCTTGAATCTCGACCAATATTCCAGCAGCTCCAGCCTTTGGTGTTTACACTTCACAATTCTTGAGATATAATCGAGCAACTCTTGCTCAGAAGTTGTTTGATCGAGGTTACAACATTCAAGGCCTCAGTTAACCTTTCAAAAAGTTTTATGGTAGACATGTGGAGGACATTTCCAAATTTGATGCATCAGTGACAAAAAATGTCTGATGCAATTCCTTATTTTGACTTGTACCATACGTTCCCGTGTTTTTTAAGGTGAACAATTCACTTGCCTTTGCATGTGTTTGTGAAGGGCCTCACTCGTGGGGCAGGATACGATCACCTTTTCGCAAACACTTGGTATCATTACTATTTGATGGTGATTCATGAACACATGTTCATCATAAAGTCGACTCTCCTTTATGCAGAGAATATGTTTATAAAAATGTTTTTTGTTGCTTTGTATTTCCATTCCAAGTCCTCCTCGATGTCTATTTTGAATTAAGATGTCATAGACAACATTGATGTAATCCTGCTTAGCCTTCTGTATGTTCTAATGATGTCTAATGAAAGAAACTACATATTATATTAGTGGAAATAACAAGTCTAAACACGCCCTTTTATGAGATCAGCAACGCATTTGGCAGCTATCGTTAAATAGTCTATTTAGTATATTATTAAGATTTTCATGAGGGAATTTGCTTCTCAACCTAAGTATTCGATCCGTGATCCGATCAAGATTACATCTCTACATCTGACCCATGAAGATCCGGGTTAGAATAGATATTCCGCAACACATGCTTGCTGTAAAAGGCGACTATGCTTGTCGTAAGAGGCGACTAACGGGTGGTGAGGCTCGCTGACTTGGTTGATGAATGTCATCGTGTACGAATTGCGTGGATCGATGCTCATGATATCAATCACTTGATTATCTGGTCAAGACTCGATTATTTATAGACCGCCGTCATATAGCTGGAATAATGTTGAGTGCGGCGTTAAACAACAAACAAACACACCACTTCAAACATGCTTCACATAAGTATTCCACACTTTCTTAGTAGTTTACAATTTTCTTAAAACGTATTTTGTACACAAAACTTCAGAACATACCCCTGACATCCTTGAATGCCACTTAATGTACATACAATAGAGCAGGTAATAGATTGTATCAGTTGAAAGGGTGTACAGACATACAGAATTGAAATATCACCACCTGCCATGTTCACCAAAGCGCAACGTCATCACAACGTCATCACAACGTAAAGGGGTCTTTCAGTCTCGAGAAGTGGCCCGGAACATCACCAGCAGTGATGCGATAAAAACAATAAACTCGAGAATGGCAATATTGGCGTCTCGTCATTCGGCAGAGCCTGGGGATGTAACTCACCGATGGTTGAGGCAATTTGAAGGCAGGTTATATAGCATACATACGCGTCCCATGAGCTCAAAGCCCAGTTCGTTGATATGTCAATGACCGCAACGCTGCACATTGAATTAGGGCAACGTAACATGTCCATCCGGACCATCTTGTTTTCAATATGTGTTTATTCAAAAGATCAAGTGTCTGCCTGGCGTTGACGTTGTATTCTGTTGACATTGTACATGTGACATTGTACCAAGCATTGGACATGGAGCCAGACTAAAGGCAGAGCAGGTCAAGTACCCCAGTATACCATGGGTGTCGTGAGACCCAGCTTAGAGTGAGATCGGGTGGTTTTAATGTGTGACCTGACTGCGAGTGCGTGCTGTGTTTCACGTTGCCTTGAACAGTATTTGAACAGTTATATCACGGCGTGTCAGCTTAATGTGGGAGGAAAGCCCGATGTGATGCAGGTCTCGGACGTTTACCGCTTCGGTGAAACCCACAAGCACGGGTATGGTACTAAGCCTAGAAACATAATCGGGGCGAACCGGGATTCGAACCCAAAATCATAGGTTTATGGCGTGCCCAACTCTGCACAGCGACTCCCGGCGCCTTAGACGACTGTGCCGCCTGTGCCCCCGTGCAATGGATGGAAATGAAAATATAAGTTATCGACCGATCTCGAGGGGCATATATTGTGATGTACTCCGTGACGTGAGTAATTCAATAAATCATAAACCTCTTGTTCAAACCAGTTACAGTTATTTACAACACAAAATCGGCTTTATGATAACAAACACACTTTTATGAGAAACAAACTTAATAGAATGTTAGAGGTAAAGGCCCTCAGGCTGCTTTTGGCGTAACCTCAGTAATCCAGAAACGACCTTGTTGACGTAATTCAACATGAGTTGAGAGGTTTTACCCCGCGTTTAGCCATGTTCCAGCAATTTCACAGCAGAGGAGCACAGAAACTGGGAAAAGGTGAGAATACAACCTGGGCTTCCAAGCGAAGGCTTAGTCCTTCACAACATCTGGCGTTCATCGTCAGAGAGGCCTATGTGGCAGTGAATTTTTGGCTTCACCTCAAGTTTCACTTTGGGATTTCATCTCCTGACAGAAATTTGGGATTCACCCGGGATATAAAGTAAACACAAACACAAACCAAGGTGTATCGTGACTCGAGTCTAAAGACACTTACAAAGGTTACGGCAAACCATGGTGTATCGTGACTCGACTCTACGGACACTTACGAAGGTTACGGCAAACGATGGTGTATTGTGACTCGACACTACAGACACCTAATAAGGCTATGGCAAACCAAGGTGTGTCGTGACTCGGCTCAACGGGACACTTAAGAAGGTTACGGCAAACCATGGTGTATCGTGACTCGACTCTACGGACACTTACGAAGGTTACGGCAAACCTAGGTGTATCGTGACTCGACTCTACAGACACTTACGAAGGTTACGGCAAACCTAGGTGTATCGTGACTCGACTCTACAGACACTTACGAAGGTTACGGCAAACCATGGTGTATCGTGACTCGACTCTACAGACACTTACGAAGGTTATGGCAAACCATGGTGTATCGTGACTCGACTCTACAGACACTTACGAAGGTTACGGCAAACCATGGTGTATCGTGACTCGACTCTACGGACACTTATGAAGGTTATGGCAAACATGGTGTATCGTGACTCGACTCTACAGACACTTACGAAGGTTATGGCAAACCTAGGTGTATCGTGACTCGACTCTACGGACACTTACGAAGGTTACGGCAAACCATGGTGTATCGTGACTCGACTCTACAGACACTTACGAAGGTTATGGCAAACCATGGTGTATCGTGACTCGACTCTACAGACACTTACGAAGGTTACGGCAAACCATGGTGTATCGTGACTCGACTCTACGGACACTTACGAAGGTTATGGCAAACATGGTGTATCGTGACTCGACTCTACAGACACTTACGAAGGTTACGGCAAACCATGGTGTATCGTGACTCAACTCTACGGACACTTACGAAGGTTACGGCAAACCATGGTGTATCGTGACTCGACTCTACGGACACTTACGAAGGTTACGGCAAACGATGGTGTATTGTGACTCGACACTACAGACACCTAATAAGGCTATGGGAAACCAAGGTGTGTCGTGACTCGGCTCAACGGGACACTTAAGAAGGTTACGGCAAACCATGGTGTATCTTGACTCGACTCTACGGACACTTACGAAGGTTACGGCAAACCATGGTGTATCGTGACTCGACTCTAGGGACACTTACGAAGGTTACGGCAAACCATGGTGTATCGTGACTCTACTCTACGGACACTTACGAAGGTGTTAGAGATTTTCGTGAAACCATGGAACGACGTAAATTCAGTCTATTATGGTTGGTTGTAAGTTCGCAGGCCCAGGAATTCTAAGCATCACTGCGCCCCGAATTGTAAAACAGCAAAGACGTAAAATTTATGACGGCAGGATCTCTTGATAAATCGTTTGAGGATTTTGTGACAGAAAAGAAAGTGTGGCGAACGGGAGCCAGTGCAGAGGGCGTGAGTCAAGGGAGAAAGGATCGGAGGACCTAGAATATGGACAAGGAACTTCCACGGAAGGCTGAAGGCAGTTTTTTTGGACCATTCCTATGTTGTACTGCCGCTCCTTGGGTAAGTTCATATTGGAAAGATTTGGGGAGGGCTTCCAGTGTCATAACTTTGGATAGGTTGCTACTTCACGTAATTGTAACGATTTGTGCTACTTTGGTTTGATGCAAGAATCGTGGGCTACTCACTAACCATGTTAATTGTGATGTTGCTAGAGGTCGATGTGTCTTGCTAATGAAACTGGAAATCATGGGAGTAGTGGCGGCATTCCCTGGACTTGTCATAGAACGATTGATGGAGTTAGGAATCAATGTCATAAATAAATTCGAACTAAAAACTGGTTCACTGAGTCTCGCATTAACATGGCAGAATGTGTGAAATTGATTTTTCATTGATGGCAGAACCTATTTTCACCTAGATCGTCAACCTGATTATGGTCTTCATGAAAGGCTACTGACTGGTTCAACTTTTGTCATGATCATGAGGTACGTGATGAATCGGTCTATGGGAGAACGGACATGATAAGTTGCCCTGGTAGCATTGTTAAACTTTTTGAAGTTTGGCAAACGAAAATATTATAAAGTTCAATATGTTGAGGGCCATTGGGTATTTGGAGATGATGAGACATTGGCCTGAATCAATATTTGTATGGTACGCTGAGATATTGACATTTTGATATCATTAATCAAACGGTTGATTTTACCTATTTCCGTTATCATTTCTGATTGCCGAAAAGTTAACAATCCTCTTGATTCTGATCCGGAGTATATGCATCTCACTGTCAACCACTCCAAGAATTACAGAGACCTCATCACATGTCTGCAAACAAATACAGTCAAGAAGCGTACCAGCGCCTACAGAGGACAGATATGCGTGTGGATTAAACATCCGTTGGTGTATGTCATGTCTAGGCATGCTCACATCCCTCCAGGATCTATCCAACAGAGGCAGGCTGCGGTTTGTCCCATATACAACTGGGGAAACAGTTCCAGAGAGCATCACCTCTACACGGACACAACAAACGAGAGATGGGGTGCTCACATGGACAACACAACCATATAATGGCTATGGTCGACTCAAAATAGAGAATTGAATATCAACTGTCTGGATATGAGAACAATATATCAAACTATTCAAGCAGTCATCAGTAGCGATTGCAACAGACAACATGGGTAGTATACGATACCTGCCTTAAGTTAAAGCATGCATTATCTGGGCAAGCTAACATGTCCTATCAGAGCTTTGAGAATACTACATCACAGATACTCAAGACCAAAGAAAACAGAGAAGATGCCTATTTATCTCAGAAAAGGACATCATGAAGGCTTCAGTGGCAGAATGGCTCAAGACGACCATAACGGACTGCTAGCGCCATGCTGAAATATACAGTCTAACATGGGAAGCTGCGGAGCTCACTCTATTAAGGCCCTGACAAGAATTCTTGCATCAAGGAACGCAGTACCCATCAAGCAAGTGGTAGTGAGCTGTCAATGGAAAACAAAAAGGTCGGGGCTAGGTGACCAGTGTGGTCCTGAAGGTTCCAGACATACCTCAGACCTCAAGGTAAGTTGGGCATATAAAACCTAGTCTGCTGAGTACATTCATGGTGGTACAGATAGTGACTTGTTGTTCACAAAATAATTACACGACACGGTTTGTTCTACATGTTTCGGGGAGAAGTGAAGAAGCCATTCAACACTCCAATGTCGGTACCATGTGCTTTCATTCAACACATTAACGTCTGTAGCAGCCTGAATATATTCAACACATCGATGTCTGCAACAAAATCAATGTATTCAACGAGCTAATGTCTGTAACAACATGAATATATTAAACATGTCAATGTTGTAACACGTACATGCATTCAACACGCCAATGTCTATACATTCCACACATTAATGGTCTGTAGCATGATGGTATGTCTGATTGTATACAATTTGTCAATGTCGGTAAGAATATGAATGTCTGTACAAACGTTTCACCTAGGACGTGTGAGCACCATGTGACACAAGAAGATCCATCAAGTCTCCTCGTCCCTGTGATGATGCTATGTTGGCTGCTGTTTTACGTTTCTTGTTCTTGGCGTTGACGTCCACAATAACTTTGGAGACGATATACTTCACCACCTCCATCTGTCCCATCAGACAGGCTAAGTGAAGGATGTTGTTACCTCTATTATCCACGAGTGACGCATCAGCTCCTTTATTTACGAGTAACTCTACTACTTCTTTATGTCCCTTTTCTGCTGCCAGCATCACCGGTGTTCGCTTCTTCAATCCTCTGCTGTTGATGTCCACTATGTCCTGTGAGAGCAAATACTTTACCACATCCACATGGCCTTTAAAACAGGCCAAGTGAAGGACGTTGCTACCAGCAGTATTATATGCTAGTGACAAATCAGCTCCTTGTTTTACGAGTAACTCTACTACTTCTTTCTGTCCGTTTCCTGCTGCCCTCATCACCGGTGTTCGCTTCCTCCATCCTCTGCTGTTGATGTTTACTGTGCCCTGTGAGAGCAAATACTTCACCACATCCACATGGCCATTAAAACAGGCCAAGTGAAGGACGTTGCTGCCAGCAGCATTATATGCTAGTGACAAATCAGCTCCTTTTTTTACGAGTATCTCTACCACCTCTTTGTGTCCGTTTCTTGCTGCCAGCATAACAGGTGTCTTCGTCTTCCGTCCTCTGCAGTTGATGTCAACTATGTCCTGTGAGAGGACATACTTCACAACCTCTATCTGTCCACATAAACAGGCCAAGTGAAGGATGTTCTCATGTCCTTTATCCACGAGTGACATGTCACCACCTTTATCCACAAGTAGCTTAACAATTTCTATATGTCCTTTCTCTGCAGCCAGCATCACCGGTGTTCTCCTGCAACTTCCTCTACCATTGATATCTACCATGTCATGTGAAAGGACATACTGCACAACCTCTACATCTCCTCCCCGACCGGCGGAGTGAAGGATGTTGTTACCGAATCTATCGACAATTGACACCTTAGCTCCTTTACTCACAAGTAACTCAACCACCTCTTTATGTCCATTGCCAGCTGCCCACATCACCGGTGTCCTACCAATCTTGTCTTTACAATTAATGTCCGTCCCTCCCTGGGACAAGATGACTTCCACCCTTGACAGGTCTCCCTCCTCGGAGGCACTATGGAGGTCGCAGGACGAAGGTACTGTAACACAAAGTTTTCCTCGATATACATCTTGGACATCATTTTGAGAGGAGGTTGCAAGACATCATATGATGGCGAGAAGGCAATGGTATTTATAATGACGTAAAAACGTCCTTATTTTCGTCATTATACGAAATAACCATGAAAATAAATATTGATTAATTGGTGTCCGCTTATAAACCCAGTGAAAAATATGATTGGACATTATTCCCATGGCAGCTTTGCTTAAATGCAGGGGATACTGATGTTGTGCGGTGTGGTGCAGCAAAACTATGTACAACTCTGGGGATCAGCTTTTTGATAACAGCACACGGGTTCATGTTTCATGTGGCGTGCGTAATGTTTACTGTTGAACCCAACTGAGGAAATCTTATTTGGCAGTTGAAGTAAGCAAGCAGATCGAGGAGTTGCAACGGTGACATGGGCTAATCAGCGATTGGGCTATATCAAAACATTTAGATCTCTCACTGGTGACGTGCCAACCAAACGGTGTAATGAAGGGGCCATTTCTTTATTCAGGGTGGTTAATACAGACAATTACGAATTACCAGACACAAATTGTCTTTAGTTTAAAGATATATATATTTTTTTGATAAAAAGCATATACAGACCGCTTCCGTGGTCTAGTGGTAGAACGTCTGCCCAGTGAGTGGAAGGGCCAGGGTTTGATCTCCGGTCGTGTCATACCAAAATACGTTAAATGATTGTACTTGTTGTTACCCTGTCTGGCGCTCGGCATTGAGGGGCTAAAACAAGGACTGTTCGGCATGGAGTCAGTACACTGTGTCTGAGTGGGGTATTTATTTTAAACTGAAGCATGGTATTTCAGTGAGCTGGCACTATAAATCGGCATCAGTATGGACTAGTACAAGCAGCCACATACACACACTTGTATGCACGTCACTATATAAGTGCAAAAATCTTGGACGCGATGTTAAACCCCATTTCACCTCACCACCTCATTATAGATATAATATGGTATTGTAATGTATCCGATTATCTGATTTATCCATAGCATAGAGGTGAGGTGAGGTGAAATGGAATTTAACGTCGCGTCCAAGATTATTGCACTTATAAAGCGACGTGCATGCACGTGTATGTGTGTGTGTGTGGCTGCTTGTACTAGTCCAGGCTGATGCCGATTTATAGTGCTAGCACACTGAGATACCATGCCGCACTTTAACATGAATACCCCACTCAGACACAGTATACTGACTCCGAGCCGAACAGTCCTTGTTTTAGCCCCTTAATGCCGAGTGCCAGACAGGGTAACAACAAGTACCATCTTTTAACGTTTTTTGGTATGACGCGGCTGGGGATCGAACCCCGGACCTTCTGCTCTCCAGGCGGAGGCTCTACCATTAGACCACAGAGACGTTCCATAGCATAGAGTGACGACCTGGTATAACCATTGTTTTATGATAAACAAATAACTCTCCCGGGAGTATCCATACTGCTTCTTCTTACAAATCCACATAGACGTACACCGAGGCCTAGTGGGTAGAGCGTCTCGCCAGGGAGTGGAAGGTCAGTTGTTGCATACCTGACTGCCTCATGCCATAAAAAGTGATGGCACTAGTTCACGGCATTAAGGGGATAAAACAAGGATTGGTTGGCGCGGAGTCTGTATAATTTGTTTGAGTGAGGTATCTAAGTGGGCTAGCATTATAAAAAAAAATAGTGTGGACTAGTACAGTCAGCCATAAACACAGGTGCATGCACGTCTGTATGCAAGTGCAACAATCTGGAACTGGTCTTTCAATTTCACTTCACCACCTTACCTTCCACCCATATAGAGGCCTTGCATTATTGTTTAGATTATGAACTTGTAACGTATTTCCAGTAGATAGTCGTCATGGGGTATTTGCTCTTACATTTGTACATATTAACTACAAATACAAGTGTCGCAAACTAAGGTCTGCCTTCTTCGGCTTTCTTACAACAAGGAAGAGGATGACAGTGGATGAACTGACAGTATCTGATCAGCGCAAACAATTGTCCTGTCACGTTCACAGACGTCACCATTTGCTCCCCCAAAGAGTCTGACAACTACCAGAACCTGACATGCAAATAGTCCGAAAAAGCAAGTAAGTCTATTATGGGTCAGAAAATCTAGGTATCTTCAGCCAAATAATGAACAAACGTTAGGTGTTCCTTTTGATTATACAATTTGTACATGTATACTTACAGAAAAAAAGTACTGTGCTTCATATAGAGTGATGTACATGTAATGTTGTTCAACACAAGAGCATAACATTTTGGCATTCGTCTGATCAATGGTTTATTATAACACATTTGTTGACAAAACCCAAACCTGGTTAGAGGAGACAGAATAAGACGCCCTAAAAGAGGGGTGGTGTAACATCTCAAATAACAGTGTCAATATCGGGTATGTCCACCATTTGTATTGATACAGGTAAGGCTGAGCCATAGCGTTGAAGACAATAGCTGATTGAAAACGGCGAGGGGATGTTTAGCCCAACGGAAGTAGTGTTACCGGCTGGTTCTGGTGCTGTCTTAGGTATCCTTCAATCTCATTCGAGACATGTTCTGTGAGGAAGAGGTCAGAATAAACAGCCTGCCATGGCAGTAAAGCAATGTTATGCTTTCTCTAAAAGTCTGTAACAACACGTTCAACGTTTTGGACGGGCATTATCTTGCTGCGACGTGACATTATGTCCCTCCATTCGCACAAAGGGGAGAACATGATCTGGAACCATATCGTCCTGGTAGCGATTAAATTGCCATTAACAATGATGAGTTCTCCCATTGCGGTTGATGCCTCACAATACCATCACACTTTTACCCTCAAACTGACTTTCTCCTGGACGCCTGTAGACCCTAGCACGACAATTAGAGCTGTCTAAATGAAACCTGCTTTCAACTGTGGACAGCATACTTCGCCATTCTTGTCTTCTGAACCTCAGATGCTGTATACATCGAACTAGACATGGAAGCAAAACTGGGCGAATTGCTTGACATCGGGCTGATGTTTTGCTCCCTCAACAGGTTGCCTACATTTCTCCTACTGATCGGTCTCAACCCAAGCATTTTCCGAGCTGTTGATGTGGCAGTTTGGTATTATGAGTATTGATGTTTACTTGTTTATCAGTTGTTTAGAGATAATATTGTGTTTTGAATTGTCCGGCAACTTAGTTTTTCGCCATTCCTGTTTGCAGCATTCCACAGTGCGCAGACGTTGGTTTCAGCAAGCCTAGGCATTGTACCGTTACAATCAGTATTTTAGTGAGCACCTGGTAGCTAAACAATTTATGTATGCTGATCACATTAAAAAACGGACTTGTTAGTGATGAAGAGACGAGGAAGTGATGAAGACATGAGGGTGTGATGAAGAGACGAGAGAGTGATGAAGAGACGGAGTGATGAAGAGACGAGGAAGTGATTAAGAGACGAGGGAGTGATGAAGAGAGGAGGGAGTGATGAAGAGACGAGGGAGTGATGAAGAGAGGAGGGAGTGATGAAGAGAAGAGAGAGTGATGAAGAGACGGAGTGATGAAGAGACGAGGAAGTGATTAAGAGACGAGGGAGTGATGAAGAGAGGAGGGATTGACGAAGAGACGAGGGAGTTATGTCAAATTGAAAGAAGCCATTATAAAATCTCTTTTTGAAGACTGCCATATATGATAGGATGCAACCAATGTATTGAGACTGCCAAATAAATCCATATGAAAATAAAATGTTCTTAATATGAACATCCGTCCGTGTGCTGTATCTATGTTATATATATCCCACGTCGCTATATAAGTGCAATAATCTTGGACGCGACGTTAAACCCAATTTCACCTCACTTATATATATCCTCATAACGATCTTCAGTTAAAACGACCTAAAATCAGTGGTCCCTTTAAGTTCATTATAACTGTAGTTTACTGTATGTTCGTTCTAATGGTGACTAGGAGTTTACTAATTGTGCAATAACTGTTATCTTACGATATCACTGTACAGTATTCGCAATTCATATGTTTGCTCTCGTAAGCCTTCTAATGTCGTTTTCCAGAAGTTAATACGTTTTTCTTGGTATAAATGATTTATATCTGATCCGAAAGGTGGTGAGGTGAGGTGAGGTGAAATTGGGTTTAACATCGCCTCCAAGATTATTCCACTTATATAGCGACGTGCATGCACGTGTGTGTGTGGCTGCTTGTACTATTCCGGACTGATGCCCATGTATAGTGCTCACTGAGATGCCGCAGTTTAACATGAATACACCACTCAGACACAGTATTCTGACTCCGAGCCATGCGGACACTCTACCTCTAGACCGCGGAGGCGAATGATAATAATTTACATTTTATTTGAAAGATAACATAAGGGTTGACTATAGACCATAGAACAAGCGTTATTATATATCAAAGATGACACAAATAGAATGTTGTTATGGACATCCATAAACAGAAATGTAAGAGAAACTTGTAACATTAACATTCGATAGCTTCCTGTATCAGGGTCATGTTGAGACTCTTGCCTCTCTATGACTACGTCTATGTCTCTGGTAGGTAGTTTTCCAAGCAATATAAGGATATTGTAACACAGACTGTACACAATACAGTTACTAATAGTGATGAAATGAATTATTTATTTAGGTGTGTGTTTTGTGGCGTATGAACAATACACATGGACGTTTTAAGAATAATTTGATGTTGGTATGATAAATCAATGTTTCGTCTGCCTGTCTGTTTAACGTCAAATGTGTAGTTTAATAGATTGTAAATTGTTCATTCTCTACTGATTAAAATACTTGATGTAAATAGTCATTATTGTGAGAGAAAATTTGGAATAAATACGTGATGATTAATTATAGTTAAAGCATCAAGAGGTGACTGTCCTACAATTGTCATAGCGATTTATTTACGACAACGATTCTGAATGAACATTTAATTCCAAAGGTCAATTAATTACCCTACAGCCATGACATCTATATACACTGAATCACTTAATTGCCGTTATTTATAAGATGCTAATCCCTATTGTATTGTACATCGATTATCTGCCATCCTGAACGAGATGCGCAAGTATGTCACTGATAAATAATACAATAATTAAGGTCAGAACAACTCGTTGTCAGAACACGCAGACAGTAAATCAGCTGGACACAAAGCTTGACATAAATCAGCTAAACATCAATCAGCAGGAAATTAATCAGCTTGACATAATTCAGTTGAACATTAATCAGCTGGACATAAATCAGCTGGACATAAATCAGCCAGACAAAAATAAGCCGGACATAAATCAGCTGGACATAAATACGCTGGACATAAATCAGCTGCACATAAACAGCGGAACATCAATCATCAGGACATAAATCAGCCGGACATAAATCAGCCGGACATAAACCAGCCGGACATAAATCAGCAGGACATAAATCAGCTGGACATAAATCAGCTGGACATAAATCAGCTGGACATAAATCAGCTGCACATAAATCAGCCGGACATAAACCAGCCGGACATAAATCAGCCGGACATAAATCAGCTGGACATAAATCAGCTGGACATAAATCAGCTGGACATAAATAAGCTGGACATAAATAAGCTGGACATAAATCAGCTGAACATAAATTAGCTGGACATACCTCAGCCGGACATAAATCAGCCGGACATAAATCAGCCGGACATAAATCAGCCGGACATAAATCAGCTGGACATAAATCAGCTGGACATAAATCAGCTGGACATAAATCAGCTGGACATAAATCAGCTGGACATAAATCAGCTGAACATAAATCAGCCGGACATCAATCAGCTGGACATAAATCAGCTGGACATAAATCAGCTGAACATAAATCAGCCGGACATCAATCAGCCGGACATAAATCAGCCGGACATAAATCAGCTGCACATAAATCAGCTGGACATAAATCAGCTGGACATAAATCAGCTGGACATCGATCAGTACATATATCATAATTACTGTTTATTGTAAATAGGGTTTTGGATGGTCAAGGGTTGTAACCCCAACTCTTGCTCTAGTGAATAAATTGACAGAGACACAAACCTTCCAGACAGACGTTTTCACATCCAACCATCACAGATCGGGAAGTCAGATTGCAGACCTCGTATCCACAGGGATTAGTCTGGACCTTGAGAAAGCAATGAAAAGTATAAAGTGTCGATCTCTGACTTCTTTCACTATGAATTTAAGGCGTCGATATATAACTGTTTATGGAAGGTGTAACATGGCCGTTATATCGTGATGTATAACTGTTTATGGAAGGTGTAACATGGCCCTTGTATCGTGATATATAACTGTTTATTGAAGGTGTAACATGGACGTTATATCGTGATATATATTACTGTTTATGGAAGGTGTAACGTGGACCTTATATCGTGATATATAACTGTTTACTGAAGGTGTAACATGGCCCTTATATCGTGATGTATCATACGGACTCTGTGGTCAAGAAGATAGATTGAATACAAGGTCGTTCGTTTGATCCCCGACCGCATCATACCAAAAGACGATAAAAGGTGGTAAAACAAGAACTAGACACGCACGCACGCATGCACACTTTATGCGATATAGAAGGTCATTGATGAATGACGACACGCGACTTCTTGTGTCATAACTGCTGTGTACCAAAAGTTGCTGTTCCATTGTATTGAGTTGAGGGATATTATCTCACAAAGGGACAAACTCTGTCCAGCCCAGCAAAAATTATGGTAACACAACATTTGCAGAAGACCTCCGCTGTTCTGTTCAACTGCCGTCATCGAAAGATCTCGGACTTTTCAAATTATAATTACCAATAGCACTGAGGTTAAGTGAAATGGGGTTTAACTTTGCGTTCAAGATTATTGCACATAAATAGACATGTGCATGCACGCGTTTGAGTGTGGCTGCTTGTACTTGTCCTGACTAATGCTGATTTGATAGTGCTTTCCCACTGAGATACCATACCCAGGTTAACGTGAATACCCCACTGAGATACCATACCAAGGTTAACGTGAATACCCCACTGAGATACCATACCAAGGTTAACGTGAATACCCCACTGAGATACCATACCCAGGTTAACGTGAATACCCCACTCAGATACCATACCCAGAATAACGTGAATACCCCACTGAGATACCATACCAAGGTTAACGTGAATACCCCACTCAGATACCATACCAAGGTTAACGTGAATACCCCACTCAGATACCATACCAAGGTTAACGTGAATACCCCACTCAGATACCATACCCAGGTTAACGTGAATACCCCACTGAGATACCATACCAAGGTTAACGTGAATACCCCACTGAGATACCATACCCAGGTTAACGTGAATACCCCACTGAGATACCATACCAAGGTTAACGTGAATACCCCACTCAGATACCATACCCAGGTTAACGTGAATACCCCACTGAGATACCATACCCAGGTTAACGTGAATACCCCACTGAGATACCATACCAAGGTTAACGTGAATACCCCACTCAGATACCATACCAAGGTTAACGTGAATACCCCACTCAGATACCATACCAAGGTTAACGTGAATACCCCACGGAGATACCATACCAAGGTTAACGTGAATACCCCACTCAGATACCATACCAAGGTTAACGTGAATACCCCACTCAGATACCATACCAAGGTTAACGTGAATACCCCACTGAGATACCATACCAAGGTTAACGTGAATACCCCACTGAGATACCATACCCAGGTTAACGTGAATACCCCACTCAGATACCATACCCAGGTTAACGTGAATACCCCACTGAGATACCATACCAAGGTTAACGTGAATACCCCACTGAGATACCATACCAAGGTTAACGTGAATACCCCACTGAGATACCATACCAAGGTTAACGTGAATACCCCACTGAGATACCATAACAAGGTTAACGTGAATACCCCACTGAGATACCATACCCAGGTTAACGTGAATACCCCACTGAGATACCATACCAAGGTTAACGTGAATACCCCACTGAGATACCATACCAAGGTTAACGTGAATACCCCACTGAGTTACCATACCACGGTAAACGTGAATACCCCACTCAGATACCATACCAAGGTTAACGTGAATACCCCACTCAGATACCATACCAAGGTTAACGTGAATACCCCACTGAGATACCATACCAAGGTTAACGTGAATACCCCACTCAGATACCATACCCAGGTTAACGTGAATACCCCACTGAGATACCATAGCCAGGTTAACGTGAATACCCCACTGAGATACCATACCAAGGTTAACGCGAATACCCCACTGAGATACCATACCAAGGTTAACGTGAATACCCCACTGAGATACCATACCCAGGTTAACGTGAATACCCCACTGAGATACCATACCCAGGTTAACGTGAATACCCCACTGAGATACCATACCAAGGTTAACGTGAATACCCCACTGAGATACCATACCACGGTTAACGTGAATACCCCACTCAGACACAGTATTAATGATTCCGAGCCAAGTAGTCCTTGTGTGAGAGTAGGGTGGTGAGGGAAGGGTTGTGAGGGACGGGCTGTGAAGGAAGGGCTGTGAGGGAAGGGTTGTGAGGGAAGGGTTGTGAAGGAAGTGTTGTTAGGGAAGGGTTGTGAGGGATGTGTTGTGAGGGACTGGGTGAGAGAAGGGGTGTGAAGGACAGGGTGAGGGAAGGGGTGTGAGGGAAGGGTGTGAAGGACTGGGTGAGAGACGGGGTGTGAAGGACGGGGTGAGGGAAGGGATGTGAAGGAAGGGTTGTGAAGGACGGGGTGAGGGAAGGGATGTGAAGGACGGGGTGAGGGAAGGGGTGTGAATGACTGGGTGAGAGACGGGGTGTGAAGGACGGGGTGAGGGAAGGGTTGTGTAGGACGGGTTGTGAGGGAAGGGTTGTGAAGGACTGGGTGAGAGACGGGGTGTGAAGGACGGGGTGAGGGAAGGGTTGTGAAGGACGGGTTGTGAGGGAAGGGTTGTGAAGGACGGGTTGTGAGGGAAGGGTTGTGAGGGAAGGGGTGTGAATGACGGGGTGAGGGAAGGGTTGTGAAGGAAGGGTTGTGAAGGACTGGGTGAGAGACGGGGTGTGAAGGACGGGGTGAGGGAAGGGTTGTGAAGGACGGGGTGAGGGAAGGGTTGTGAAGGACGGGGTGACGGAAGGGTTGTGAAGGACGGGGTGAGGGAAGGGGTGTGAAGGACGGGGTAAGGGAAGGGATGTGAAGGACGGGTTGTGAGGGAAGAGTTGTGAAGGACGGGTTGTGGGGGAAGGGGTGTGAATGACGGGGTGAGGGAAGGGGTGTGAATGACGGGGTGAGGGAAGGGGTGTGAATGACGGGTTGTGGGGGAAGGGGTGTGAATGACGGGGTGAGGGAAGGGGTGTGAATGACGGGTTGTGGGGGAAGGGTTGTGAAGGACGGGGTGAGGGAAGGGTTGTGAAGGACGGGGTGAGGGAAGGGTTGTGAAGGACGGGTTGTGGGGGAAGGGGTGTGAATGACGGGGTGAGGGAAGAGTTGTGAAGGACGGGTTGTGGGGGAAGGGGTGTGAATGACGGGGTGAGGGAAGGGGTGTGAATGACGGGGTGAGGGAAGGGGTGTGAATGACGGGTTGTGGGGGAAGGGGTGTGAATGACGGGGTGAGGGAAGGGGTGTGAATGACGGGTTGTGGGGGAAGGGTTGTGAAGGACAGGGTGAGGGAAGGGTTGTGAAGGACGGGGTGAGGGAAGGGGTGTGAAGGACGGGGTAAGGGAAGGGATGTGAAGGACTGGGTGAGGGAAGGGTTGTGAAGGACGGGTTGTGAGGGAAGGGGTGTGAATCACGGGTTGTGAGGGAAGGGTTGTAAAGGACGGGTTGTGAAGAACGGGTTGTGAAGGACGGGTTGTGAAGGACGGGTTGGGAAGGACAGTGTGAGGTACGGGGTGTGAATCACGGGTTTGCGAGGGAAGAGTTGTGAAGGACGGGGTGAGGGAAGGGACGTGAATGACGGGTTTTGAGGGAAGGGTTGTGAAGGACGGGTTGTGAAGGACGGGGTGAGAGAAGGGGTGTGAAGGACGGGGTGAGGGAAGGGGTGTGAAGGACGGGTTGTGAGGGAAGGGGTGTGAAGGACGGGTTGTGAGGGAAGGGGTGTGAAGGACGGGGTGAGTGAAGGGTGTGAAGGACGGGTTCTGAGGGAAGGGATGTGAGGGACGGGTTGTGAGGGAAGGGTGTGAAGGACTGGTTGTGAGGGAAGGGTTGTGAGGGGCGGGTTGTGAGGGACGGGGTGAGGGAAGGGTTGTGAAGGACGGAGTGAGGGAAGGGTTTTAAGAAATCATTATTCTACTAAATAATCAATTTTTTGTATGTTTTGATTTCTTCCAAAAGTACTTTATTCAATACAATTGAAATCAGTGACATGACATGAGGTTCCTTTGATGCTTGGTACGATCAGCACGCGACCCACATACACACACATCCATTTGACATAAATACAACTTACATGGGGATGACTCTTTGGACGGCCACTGGGTACGCCCGTCTTCTCCTTGGATTCATCAATTGATTGACGACAGGACGCGAAAACGAAGGAATCTTGGATGCATTCAAGTTGGCACAACTTGAAGTCAATATTTCTAAAAGTGACAGATCTGATCTTCAATTTCCCTGTCATCTGAAGTTCACATTGACCATTTGTTCTGTATGTTGAAAGTACCAACATGAAGTAAATAGCCAGCTGCAGACTGCTGCTTAAACACCGTGGCATCGTCTTGACGTGTTCACAGAGCACAGTTTCAACAAACTGGTTAGACGAGTACCAGAGACTGTAACACAACCAGGTTGAATGACTCCTGCCTTTAAGCAGGACTGTTGCACATGACGACGATGACTCAAAATATAGCCTGCGTGTCGATTTGCTGATATGGGTCATTTATAAATACATGTTGTTGTACTACATACAGGTCCACAGCTAGGTAAGTGAGGGATTTCCTTTCAATCATCTACACCATCAACCTACAATTCCATCCCCTGCGCCACCATCAACCCAACAGCCCTATCACCTACACCACCATCAACCCAACAGTCTCATCACCTTCACCACAATCAACACAACAGTCTCATCACCTCACAACAATCAACACAACAGTCCCATCACCTACACCACCATCAACGCAACAGTCTCATCACCTCACAACAATCAACACAACAGTCCCATCACCTAAACCACCATCAACCCAACAGTCTCATCACCTCACAACAATCAACACAACAGTCCCCACCACCTACACCTCCATCTGCCCAACAGTCACATCATCTCATAACAATCAACACAACATTCCCATCACCTACACCACCATCAACACAACAGTCCCATCACCTACACCTCCATCAACCCAACAGTCACATCACCTCACAACAATCAACACAACAGTCCCATCACCGACATCTCCATCTGCCCAACAGTCACATCACCTCACAACAATCAACACAACAGTCACATCACCTATACCACAATTAACCAAAAGGTCCCATCACATACACGACCATCAACCCAACAGTCCCATCACCTTCACCACAATCAGCCAAACAGTCACATCACCTACACCACAATTAACCAAAAGGTCCCATCACATACACCACCATCAACCCAACAGTCCCATCACCTACACCACCTTCAACCAAACACTCACATCAACTCACAACAATCAACACAACAGTCCCATCACCTACACCACCATCAACCAAACAGTCACATCACCTCACAACAATCAACACAACAGTCCCATCACCTACACCTCCATCTGCCCAACAGTCTCATCACCTACACCACCATCAGCCCAACAGTCCCATCACCTTCACCACAATCAGCCAAACAGTCACATCACCTACACCACAATTAACCAAAAGGTCCCATCACATACACCACCATCAACCCAACAGTCCCATCACCTTCACGACAATATGCAAAACAGTCACATCACCTACACCACAATTAACCAAAAGGTCCCATCACATACACCACCATCAACCCAACAGTCCCATCACCTACACCACAATCAACCAAACACTCATATCACCTCACAACAATCAACACAACAGTCCCATCACCTTCACCACAATCAGCCAAACAGTCCCATCACCTACACCACAATTAACCAAAAGGTCCCATCACATACACCACCATCAACCCAACAGTCCCATCACCTTCACCACAATCAGCCAAACAGTCCCATCACCTTCACCACAATCAGCCAAACAGTCACATCACCTACACCACAATTAACCAAAAGGTCCCATCACATACACCACCATCAACCCAACAGTCCCATCACCTACACCACCATTACCCAAACACTCACATCACCTCACAACAATCAACACAACAGTCCCATCACCTTCACCACAATCAGCCAAACAGTCCCATCAACTTCACCAGAATCAGCCAAACACTCACATCACCTACACCACAATTAACCAAAAGGTCCCATCACATACACCACCATCAACCCAACAGTAACATCACCTACACCACCATCAACCAAACACTCACATCACCTCACAACTATGAGCCAAAAGGTCCCAACACATACACCACCATCAACACAACAGTCCCATCACCTACACCACCATCAACCAAACACTCACATCACCTCACAAAAATCAACACAACAGTCCCATCACCTACACCACCATCAACCAAAAAGTCACATCATCTGCACCACCATCAACCCAACAGTCCCATCACCTACACCACCATCAACACAACAGTCCAATCACCTACACCACCATCAACTAAAAGGTCCCATCACATACATCACCATCAACACAACAGTCCCATCACCTACACCCCCATCAACCCAACAGTCCCATCACCTATACCACCATCAGCCAAAAGGTCCCATCACATACACCACATCGACCCAACAGTCCCATCACCTACACCACTATCAACCCAACAGTCCAATCACCTACACCACTATCAACACAACAGTCCCATCACCTACACCACCATCAACACAACAGTCCCATCACCTACACCACCATCAACACAACAGTCCCATCACCTACACCACCATCAACCAAAAGGTCCCATCACATAAACAAACCATCAACCCAACAGTCCCATCACCTACACCACCATCAACCAAACAGTCACATCACCTACACCACCATCAACACAACAGTCACATCACCTACACCACAATCAACCAAAAGGTCCCATCACATACACAAACCATCAACCCAACAGTCACATCACCTACACCACCATCAAACAAACAGTCACATCACCTACACCACCATCAACACAACAGTCCCAATGACCTACACCACCATCAACCAAAAGGTCCCATCACATACACCACCATCAACCCAACAGTCCCATCACCTACAACACTATCAACACAACAGTCCCATCACATACACCACCATCAACAAAACAGTCCCATGACCTACACCACCATCAACCAAACAGTCACATCACGTACACCACCAACAACACAACAGTCCCATCACCTACACCACCATCAACCCAACAGTCCCATCACCCATACCACCATCAACCGAAAGGTCCTATCACATACACAAACCATCAACCCAACAGTCCCATCACCTACACCACCATCAAACAAACAGTCACATCACCTACACCACCATCAACCAAACAGTCCCATCACCTACACCACCATCAACACAACAGTCCCATCACCTACACCACCATCAACACAACAGTCCCATCACCTTCACCACCATCAACCAAACAGTCCCATCACCTACACCACCATCAACACAACAGTCCCATCACCTACACCACCATCAACACAACAGTCCCATCACCTCCACCACCATCAACACAACAGTCCCATCACCTTCACCACCATCAACACAACAGTCCCATCACCTACACCACCTTCAACCAAAAGGTCCCATCACACACACCACCATCAACACAACAGTCCCATCACCTACACCACCATCAACCCAACAGTCCCATCACCTACACCACTATCAACACAACAGTCCCATCACCTACACCACCATCAACACAACAGTCACATCACCCACACCACCATCAACAGAACAGTCCCATCACCTACACCACCATCAACAAAACAGTCACATCACCTGCACCACCATCAACCAAAAGGTCCCATCACATAACCACCATCAAACCAACAGTCCAATCACCTACACCACCATCAACCAAAAGGTCCCATCACATACACCACCATCAACCAAACAGTCACATCACCTGCACCACCATCAACCAAAAGGTCCCATCACATAAACCACAATCAACACGACAGTCTCATCACCTCACAACAATCAACACAACAGTCCCATCACCTACACCACCATCAACCCAACAGTCTCATCACCTCCACCTCACAACAATCAACACAACAGTCCCATCACCTACACCACCATCAACACAACAGTCCCATCACCTACACCACCATCAACACAACAGTCCCATGACCTACACCACCATCAACGAAACAGTCCCATCACCTACACCACCATCAACACAACAGTCCCATCACCTACACCACAAACAACCAAAAGGTCCCATCACATACACCACCATCAACCCAACAGTCCCATCACCTACACCACTATCAACACAACAGTCCCATCACATACACCACCATCAACAAAACAGTCCCATGACCTACACCACCATCAACCAAACAGTCACATCACGTACACCACCAACAACACAACAGTCCCATCACCTACACCACCATCAACCCAACAGTCCCATCACCTATACCACCATCAACCGAAAGGTCCTATCACATACACAAACCATCAACCCAACAGTCCCATCACCTACACCACCATCAAACAAACAGTCACATCACCTACACCACCATCAACCAAACAGTCCCATCACCTTCACCACCATCAATACAACAGTCCCATCACCTACACCACCATTAACACAACAGTCCCATCACCTTCACCACCATCAACCAAACAGTCCCATCACCTACACCACCATCAACACAACAGTCCCATCACCTACACCACCATCAACACAACAGTCCCATCACCTCCACCACCATCAACACAACAGTCCCATCACCTTCACCACCATCAACACAACAGTCCCATCACCTACACCACCTTCAACCAAAAGGTCCCATCACACACACCACCATCAACACAACAGTCCCATCACCTACACCACAATCAACCCAACAGTCCCATCACCTACACCACTATCAACACAACAGTCCCATCACCTACACCACCATCAACACAACAGTCACATCACCCACACCACCATCAACAGAACAGTCCCATCACCTACACCACCATCAACAAAACAGTCACATCACCTGCACCACCATCAACCAAAAGGTCCCATCACATAACCACCATCAAACCAACAGTCCAATCACCTACACCACCATCAACCAAAAGGTCCCATCACATACACCACCATCAACCAAACAGTCACATCACCTGCACCACCATCAACCAAAAGGTCCCATCACATAAACCACAATCAACACGACAGTCTCATCACCTCACAACAATCAACACAACAGTCCCATCACCTACACCACCATCAACCCAACAGTCTCATCACCTCCACCTCACAACAATCAACACAACAGTCCCACCACCTACACCACCATCAACACAACAGTCCCATCACCTACACCACCATCAACACAACAGTCCCATGACCTACACCACCATCAACCAAACAGTCCCATCACCTACACCACCATCAACACAACAGTCCCATCACCTACACCACAAACAACCAAAAGGTCCCATCACATACACCACCATCAACCAAACAGTCACATCACCTGCACCACCATCAAC